CATCGCCGGGGGGTGACTCCACCAGAGATGGGCGGAGTTGTGCACGGAGCGTATCGCAGTGGCGGTGTGTGTGTGTGGTGTGGAACCGTGCCTTACCTGCGGTTTTTACCACGGTCTACTGCGGTTTTTATCGCGGTGTACTGCGGTTTTGGCCACGGGGTGGGGCAAACGGCACCGTAATAAAACCGCAACTACGGTTATTTGTGAATACTTACGATGCGGTGCGGTGCAGTTCTGTCGTAACACGGTGCGATGCGGTGCGGTTTTGTGCATCTCGATATTTGACGGCGCGGTGCGGTGCGGTGCGGTTCTTTTCATCTCGAAATGTCACGGTGCGGTTAAACCGCACCGCACCGCACCGCACCGCACCGCACCGCACCGCACCGCAACGTCGAGAAAAACTGCACCGTGAACATCCCTGCAATTTTTGAAATTATGTCTTTACGTCGTTGACGCTGAAATGTGAAAGTCACTGGTGAAAACGACAAAAACAAAAAATGGCGGAAGCACATGGTCAATCTTCGGAAAGAGGGTGGCCCTCTGTTCGGGCCCCGTTGTTTTGTTTCGCTTGAAGTTGGCCATATTGCAATCAGTTCTGCCGTGAAATACCGCCGCGGTGGGCGGTACCGGTATCCCGCCGTTATCCCGCCGTTTTCGGTTTTACGGCCATCGCCGAAGTCGATACCGCCGAAAAACGCAAATAAACCGCCAACACGACACCGCCGTATGGCGTTACCGCCGAAAAAATACCCTCGTTTTTTTGTTTTACCGCCACCGCCAAAATCGATAGCACCAAAAAACGCAATACCGTTGACCGCCATAAACAGTTATCGCCATGTGGCAATACCGCCGAAAAAATTCCGCCATTTTTTGTTTTACCGCCAAAAAGGGCACTACCGCCTACCGTCAAAGCAAATACCGCCAAATGGCAATATCGCCGAAAACGTGCCGCCAAAAAAAACGCCTACGAAGTACCGAGTACTCCCTTAGAATTTTCGAGGAGCAATTGTCGCCGTTCCGTTTTCATGGGCAGGGCAGTGCTGGGTCCGTATCATTACGGAGCCGCAGAACTGTGATAACAATCTGGAGAGCATTACTGCACCATGAGATAATGGAATATGCATACAGCAGTGGCACGACTCATGACTCATGACCCACTCCACCGAAGACGTATTAAGTGACTCATGACTACCGTATATGACACAAGAAAACACACCCCGGTGATAACATTTTGGAGTTTAAAAATATTATCACCGGGTGTGGTATCCCGTGGGGGGGGTGTTATCTTGTGTACCCCGGGTGATAAAGTGCAGCTCGCAGGGGCCCCTAAGGGTGTGTGATAAAACAGGGGGTGTGATAGCGCGTCCGAACACCCACAGCGTGTGTTTGGGGGTGTGATAAATGAGGTGGTGCGATAAAAGGGGGTGTGATAGCCATGCCTGCACGTACACGTGCAGTGTAGGGACCTACCTAAAGGGGCGTGGAAAAACAAAGGGGCTCAACCGAAACTCCTGAGCACATGACCTCGGCGAGAACTCAACCCTCTCATCGCCAAAAAAGAAAAGTTTGAAACAAAATACGGGCTTGAATCGAGCAAGAAAAAATTAAAAATCGAAGGTACCTCGACCGATACGATGATTGGCGGTGGCCACAGACTGCGTGCGCCATCCTTCCCTGCCCCCCTCACAAAAACGTTTACTTGGTACTTGCGGCTGCATTCTGCTCTGCCTGCACGTCTGCACGTTCATGTTGTTGGGGGTCTCCATGCGGGGTGTTTCCCCTCACACAGCTGACGTGGTTGTGTGTGTGATTGCCCAGGGCAGATGCTGTCACCCCGGTGATAAAGAAGGAGGGGCCCCGTGACTATATGCGGCGTAACTAATAACATAACCGGGGTGCGTTATCTTATGTACCCCCGGTGATAAATCGATGGTTTGTCAGAAGCGCCCAAAACTATCACCGGGGTGTCGTATTCTGTGGGGGGTGTGCTTTCTTATGTAGGTGTGTTATCTTGTGTCATACACGGTATGTACATACCAGGGATAAGCTTCCAAGAAATTAATGTATACCAGTAGAGTTATTTAAAACTCGAAAAAATGCATGAAACCAGTGGAAGAGCCCGAAAAGTCGATGAATCGAGTTTTATATCGGAGGCGACTTTTGGGCAAAAATGCATGAATCGTGAGCAAAAATATGTTTGGGGTTCCAGAGCTCCAAGTATATATTTGTGTTTCGAGACGAACAGACTGCTCTCTCTATCTCCCTCTCTCCCTCTCCTCTCTCCTCGCCGTTGCAGCAAACATCACCGCCGTCACAACAGCAAAGACACAGCACACAGTCATAACAACGCCGCCACCACCGCCAGCCCCCAACCAAGCTTTCGGGCACTGCCCGCACGATTTTTTGTTGTGCTACGTGCGTATCAACGCGTACGTGAGGTTGCTGCATGCTGCTACACCCTCTCTTTTCCCCTCTGCCCTCCTCTCTCGTCGTGCTCCTTTTTCTTTCTCGCTTTTTCTCTGGTGCCGCCATCGCACACAAGCACAGACGAACTAACGAACAGACACAGTTCCACAAGGCTCGCCGCATAGCTTATAGGCTGCCCCGTTATTTTTTGGGGGGGAGGGCGGCCCTTCCTAGTCGGCATGGCGGGGAGGCTGGAGGTTGTTGTTGCCGTTGATGCACGGGTGTGCGTATATGCCTGTCTGCCTGTCTTTTTTAGCTGTCTCCCTGTCTTTTCTAACCCCTCTCTCGTTTTCTCCTTGGAACAAAAAAAAGAGAAGAAGGACCAACGGTTTGTTATCATCAACGTGCCCGCGTGCCAACATACAGAGTATCAGCTAGCGTGGGTTGGGGGCGCTCTTGGCAGAGACGAACGCGCCTTGTCCGCTATTCGTGTACTACGTTAGGGTGTGCATATATATTCGTATAACCTTGAAAAAAGGCACTCTAATTTCGCATGCTGCTTGTTTCCGGTTGATCAAATTTGGCTGCACCACAACGGCAGCCCACCTGCCCAGCACCAGCTGTCCGAGGATGTTTTGGCGCAAGCTAACAGTCCTGTGTTTTTATCCTGTGAAGATCTATTCTCGAGTTTTATTATATCACGGGAGTTTTTCAGCAAAAATGTACAAAGCAGCGAAAGGCCCAAAAAAGTCCTGCCGGTCCATGAATCGAGTTTTAAATAACTCTAGTATATTTTTCGTTATCTGGCACAAAGATTCTAGCAGTGGGGGTCTCGGGTTAGTGACCCTCCTGTTTAGGGACATGCCCTGGATGCCAACCATAAAACCACCTGGCACCGCCACACGCCGGTAGTATCAACTGCCGTACAATTGTTAGTTCGGTTTAGCGACCTGCCCTGAATAGCGGCCACAGTTCGTCGTGACACTAGGCTTCGCTAAACGGCTAAAAAAAGGCCCCCACGCTAGCAATAAATTCACCGCGTCAGCGGAAACGACCTGTGTTTCTACGGGTTCCCGGGCACCACCAAGCGATGTCTCCCCTGTGGGTAACAACAAGACAGTCTGCAATCAAGATACGAGACACGTAGGAAAAGGAGAGGCGTCCCGACGCCTTTCCGCAACAATACGCATACGCCCGGTTGGTCGTGGCCAGGAGAAGAAGCAGACCGAGCGTAGCTGTTCGACCGTACGGGCGTTTGAGTTGCGTGCAAATGAGTTGAGGACCGTCGGGGAGAAAATTATGACATAAATGGTGCGCGTTTAGACTCCGAGGGCAGCATCAGAAGATGCTTTGGAGAACATGGATGTGTGGAATGGTGTGGGAGGGAGTGAGCTATGCGTAGCTCGCCACAAAACTGCTGGCTGCACGGGATGAATGTCAAAAAGTCGGACAAACGTCATCAACTGAAAACCGTACCAGGTACTTACTTGTGGTCGGGGCACCAGTCGAACGTCGACTACAACTGGGTGTTCGGAAGGGCATCTCAGGGTGTCGTTGTTGCCGTTGAACCGGGGTGTCATCATTAGAAAGTTATGCATGCATTATGCATGTCGAATGGGTAGTCTTTCTGTGTTTATATGTCCCAATACATACCTCACAGAAAGACCACCCGTTCGAGATAATACCATATGTAGTCGAAGGGGGTGTGCTGAAGTCTTCGTTATCCGCTGTGAACTAGAAATGGTGCATTGTAGAGGGATGGCGGGTTGCGCGCCTCCAGATATGCATACCACACGCACACAGCAAGTGAGTAAGTCTGCGTCCGCCTGCACGTTGCTTTGGTTGATACACACGAAAGTGCTTGTTTTTACTACTGTTGATCACGGGATGGTACGCACCCCAACTCTTAGGGCTAATAGTGCATATGTCCGTGAATGCGACGCGTACAACTTTCGCGCCGATTCCTCTCTTGGCGCCCCCGCTCATCACCACCACAGAGAACACACAGCGGACAGCGCCTACTAACCCTTGTACGTAGGTATGACAGACAGCCCCCGACCGCCGAGTTTCGCACAGACCTGAACGAGGTGTGGATAATTAGTTGCCAACGAGTGAATCTGGTAGACCATGGTGTCGTAGCTTAGCGTCTCAAACTGGTTGTCCGGCAGATCATCGCCGCCGCTGAGGCCGGCTAGGCAGAGCACCGGCGCCCAGCTCAAGCACAAGCGCATCCCTGGTTGTGTCTTTGTCCGCAGCACGACGTGCTGCCCTCCTCTCTCGCTCGCTCTCTTCCACTGCAGCTCTCCGTCCCTCCGGTGTGCGAATCACTTTCGCTTCTCCTGCGCCGAGTCGAGTGGAACGGCCTGTTTCCCACTGCTGCACTGCTAACTGGTACCTTGTCCTTGTACATAGCTAGCGAGAACCTTAATCCCGTCAGAACCTCCGGCAGGTTCTAAAATAATTATTCTGTTCTACTAAAGAACCTTAAACCCGCCCCGCCGCCGCCGCGTCTGAGGAGAAGCAGCAGCTTCGCTCTCTTTCGCCGCCACCCGCGCCAAGCCAAGGACTCTCTCGCCTCTGCACCACACCAAGGGATGCCCGCAGCAACAGCTCACAAGGTGTCTGCCTCTAACCACAAGCTGTACCACGAGGCCCTCAGGTTCACGACCATCTACGTCTACTTGGACGTAGCGTACGCGACGCTGCTCCTGGCGGCAGCGCTGCACCTTAGTGGGGTGCCTGTGGGTCTGATCCTGGGGCTAGATGTGCCGCTCAAGAAGTCAGAGGCTGGGGGGGAAGGGGGTTTGGTGCGATCGGGGGCCCTGAGCTTAGCCACTGCCGGGGTGATGGGTCTCCTGGTTGGTGTTATGGTGAGCCTCCCTCCGAGTACAGCGGCACACAGCGCACCAAGTACATCGGACTGCCTCGAGTGTTCCCACAACCACCTCTCTCTCTCGCTGATTGTTAACCCTAACCCTAACCCTAACCCTTGGCGTCGCACCTTCTCGTAGAGCGGCGACGCTCTCGCCAGAGGACCCACGTTTTTCTGGAGTAAACACTACCTACGTAGCTTGGCGTCATATGGGAGATCTCGCTCGCACTCTCGGCAGAAAGTAGATGGGGACGTTCAGCGCGGCTGGGCTATTCCCGCGCCATCAGCGTGAACCTACGATTCGCCAGAGAGCGTTGCACGGCACTACAGCAGTAGACGAACAGCGGCAGCCTCCCTGATATGCATGTGTTATGGTCGTAGTATTGATCACGTTTTGATCAGGTTGCGGCTGCGATTGCGATTACGATTGCAGAGCTGCGACTTGTATTTATCCAAGGGAAATGTACAAAAGTGGGTACTCGAAAATCCGGCGCGCCCTCCATAGGCGACCCCCAAACGACTCAAAACCCCATTTTGACACCTGGGCGACACAGCCAGGGACCATACACAGCACGGGCATCGATTTGTTTCCACTTTCAGGCGCACCTTTGGCCCTAATACCTCCGAGGCGCGCAAGGCCTCACCAAAGTGCCCACTTCTGTCCGACATCGCGGTGGGAATACCCAGCGGCGTCAACTAATTTTCCATGTACAGTAGGTGGCCCGATATAGTGGCATATAGGGGCAAGACGAAATTATGCCACTATTCGGGGCAGTGCCACTATTCGTGCAATGTCAATAGTGGCATTATATCCACTATATCGAATGAGAAGCTGCGAAGTTCACGACATCGACAGCGGTGCATTGTACATCTACCCTCACATGCGCTGTTACATGCGGGTAAAGTCGTGTATTGCTGCACTCCTCGTGGTTGAGCACTTGTGTGCAGCGGTATCCGCATGAAACACATGAAATGACACTTGGTTATCCAAGGGTCGCCGAGGCTTCTGCGGTCAAAACCTATTTTTCATTTTTCAGTGCAGGCAGACCACCTATATCGGGCATTTCACTATTCAGGTTGCCACTATAAAGGGTTTTTACTGTACTCACTTGTGCCTGTATTTTGACCCACGTTTGTCCGAATTGTACCCACTTTTGTCCACTTGCGGATGGCGGAAATCGAGCGAAAATCGACCTACACGTCACCGCACGGCAGAACATCGAATAGCCTCGGAACGTCTCAGAACCTCCCAACACCGTATCCATGGCAGCTTTCCTATCCATGGCTGCGGACTGCGGACCGACCGCGGGATATCGGGTCGGATGTCGCTTCGTGCATATAATACCCTCTTTTTTTACATCCCGTAGTTGCGTGGTAAACTGCCTCGACATGCTGTGTTGCTGCCCTCGCGAGTCGGTGTGCACTCGTCATGGTGGTTGGTGTTTCTTGTGTGTGTGTCTGTGTTGCTGTATGCGCGTATTTTTGTTCTGTGTGCGCGCCCGTTGGTTTTGTCGTCCGTTGTGTGTCACGCATTTATTTGTGGCGTGCCGTTAGTGCGCTGCTTGCTGGGCTTGCCGCGGGTATCTTCCCGTGCCTGGTATCTTCCCGTGCCGGTACCGAAGGGGTGGTCTGGCATGTTTCTGACATGTTCCTCCGTGGTCGGTCCGCAGTCCGCAGCCATGGATAGGAAAGCTGCCATGGATACGGTGTTGGGAGGTTCTGAGACGTTCCGAGGCTATTCGATGTTCTGCCGTGCGGTGACGTGGAGGTCGATTTTCGCTCGATTTCCGCCGTCCGTAAGTGGACAAAAGTGGGTCAAAATACAGACACAAGTGGGTACATGAAAAAATTCGTTGATGCCGCTGGGTATACCCACCGCGATGTCGGACAGAAGTGGGCACTTTGGTGAGGCCTTGCGCGCCTCGGCGGTATTAGGGCCAAAGGTGTGCCTGAAAGTGGGAAAAAATTGATGCCCGTGCTGTGTATGATCCCTGGCTGTGTCGCCCAGGTGTCATAATGGGGTTTTGAGTCGTTTGGGGGTCGCCTATGGAGGGTGTGCGCGCTGGATTTTCGAGTACTCACTTTTGTCCGGGAATGGCGTGGGTATACCCACTTTTGTCCATTTTCCTTTATCCAACCCTGCAGCACTACCGGTAATAGAGCCAGTGCGCCAAATTATTGTAACACCGCCTGCCGCCGTTTGATGCTCTGTAGGCGGGACGCAAGGCTTTCTCCTGTTGAAAGCAGCAGAATAGCTCAGCTGGGGTGACCGTAAGCCGCTCGAACATAGGGTGCCTTGACCCTCGACCCGTGGTTGAAACCGTCGCATCGGCCTCCCGCGCCGCGAGTCACAAGCCTCCCTCGCCTTTCGACCAAAACCCTTCGTGCGTGCTCGATTCTACGGTTGCTATGTGGGACTGATGTTGCCTGCCCCATGCATGCACGGCTTGAAACCTTTTGTTCTTGGCACGGCGTGGCCCGGCAGGTTCGAGGTTGCTGTCGCTTCGACAAGAGCCACGGGTGCGTGGTAACCAACTGGCACGACCTGCTCAAGTACACGCACATGGGCAGGACGATAACCGCAGCGATGTGTGCGGTGAGCCAACACTTGCAGTCCCGCAGCAGCAGCCGGAATACATAGTCTAGATGCGCTCCGAATAAGTTGCAGAGATTGCGGTTCGGGCCTGGCAGACTGCGACTACGGGGCGCGTTCATAGATGAGCGCGATGGGTGCCAAGGATGCACATCATGGTTATATTCCGTAACAGTTGCCGCGAGAGGATAGGGAGTCCTGTTCGAGAAAATCCTTCCCCCGGAATATACTTGTAAACGGCCCCGCGGTTCGACGTGCATGTCGGGGGGGGTTCGATATAGATGTCGTCAACGGCGGCCTGTCTTTTTGGGAGGGCGACGACTCCTCACGACCACTTTTACTGCAGGAGGGAAATGGGGGCTACCCAGAGGGCGCGTAAACCATGTGGCGCACAGGATATTTGAGTTGCCAGTTCGAACGTGTTTCGATGTTGGAGCTTGAAGGTTTGTTTCTTGTTCTTGATCGCGGGCGTTAACTACTGTACTTACTAAGTGGCCTTCCGAGCCTCGCGTTTTCGGGCATCAGCCGCTGCTTTGTTCGAGACTAAATACTTGTAGCAAGACGAACGTCGTGTCTTTACGGTGGCGAGTGTGGTGAGGGATGCGCACACAGCTGTACAGCTATACATAGCTCTTATGTTTGGAACGAACCTCATGTTTCCGTCCCACTCATCCCTCGTAACCAACGTGCGCCTCATCGTGCCCGTAGTCCCGACTACGTGAAAATTTGGGTATCGCAGGTGCAGGCGACACCACGCGAACGGTACTGTGAGAAATATGCGTAAACGTTTGTTTTGTGTGTTCATGTTTAGTTTTTTTTTTTTTGGGGGGGGGTGCAGGGAAGACATGTTTCCAAACGCGTTCGGACACCACAACCCCGGGGTGAGGACATGCGCGCGCGAGACAAAGGGGTAGCCCCATGGTCTAAGCGGTGAACAAGTCTACCAGTAGAAGGTCCAGGGCTTACCCACCAATAGTGGCTAGCAGGGACGATGGTGTGCCTCGCCTGGCGCGGATCATGTTCTTTTCAATGGATTTTGCTTTAGCTCCGACCTGCACCGCTCTTGCTCCGGCCCCATGTCGACGACGTCTTGACTACCGGGCTCTGCTCTCGTCCAGGTCTTGACATGGCGAGGGCTAGGCTCATTGAAGGACTTCCAGATCCCGGAGGGTGGGGTAGGACTAGTCCCAGCCGTGCTCATCGCCGCCGCGGTCTTGAGCTTGGCGGCAGCAGCGTCCATGAACTTCCTGCACTTCAGAGTGAGAAGAGCACACGAAACGACCGTGTCCGCAGAGGTTGAGTTGTCATCAGAACTACATATATTTTACCAACGTTGTGTCGTTCAGAGATACATATGTCGCCGTCTTCCTCTCTCGCACCTGTGTCGCGTCTAAACCAGAAGCTGTTGTTGTCGCATTCTGCCAACGAGGGTCACTCATGGCGACAAGGGCCTTTGTTTATATGCTCTTGAAATACACATGTGCATACCCGCTGTTTGCGGCAGAAAAAAGTTGTCCCTCAATGATAAAACAAGAGTATTGGAGGAGGCACGGGGGGGAAAAGAACAAAATACACTCCGAACGGGTTTCAAACGCGAGAGGACGTTCCCACCAATAGCACCAACAGCAGCCGCAAAACAGGTTTTCCTGTCGCATGGTGACTAGACTAAACTAGCCTGAGGTTTGATTGGTGGTGATGCCAAACCAAATTTTCTGTTGCCTGTGGACTCGAATACAACTAGAGATCGATGTCGAGCGTCAAGCGATCGTTGTGGGGTGAACGTCCAATATGCAGAAACGACACTTACTGGCTCACAAAAATTTCTTCCACCGGGCCTCCGCCCCGCCCACCCACCCCCCGTCACCGTTCCAGATGAAGGGCGTGCTGACGGAGTACGCCAAGCTCAAGCGCACATGACTCATGCCGGCCACCCGCCGCTAGTTTTACGCGTCATTGTGACTAACATCGTCGGGGGCACAAACGACAGTTCAAGTAAAGGGGGATTGTTAGACTCTGTATACAGGTCGTGGATGCATGTTGACGGGAAAACACTTCCACCGAGGTAGATCTGACTCGGTTAATGACCTCCAGTGCAGCCCTCTTTGTTAGTCTAGCCGCCAATTTCTCGACTGTCGACAAGGAAAGAACGGGGAGACAGACGCGTGCCGTGGTTCAGCCACCGTGGATGTCTTTTTTTTTCGCGGCCAGAGTGAGAATGAATCTTGTGTCAACACTGTTCATACATGAGGGACTTGTTGTGCGGACGCTTCCGCAGCATCATCAGAGGAACTTGTGCGTGTGCGTTGGGACGTTGGAACTGGGTAGTGGAATGAGGGGCACACTCGGTCGGTGGAGTGCCTGGATTGATGGATTCATCGAAAGCCGTGTAGGACTGTGTAGAACACGCGTAGAGTACCGATAAGACACACTGTTTGGTTGTGTGTTTGGATGGTTAAACATATATCGGAGATAGCACAGCGGCCAGTGCTGCTGCTGCTGCTGCTGTGAACATTTTGTGTTTGTGCCCGGAACATACCAAGCGGGTAGCCTCCATGTACCAAGGCAGATTTCTTGTAGACATCTGATCCTGTACGGCAACGAGCGATGTCAGCAAGCAGTCCAACAAAATGCCTCGGGTGAAAAAAGTGTATTTCCAAGCACGGTTGAGCCTGGGCCCCTCTCGGCCAAGCATTTATATATATATTTTTTCTTAATATGACACAACGAAACCATCTCTATCATAGAAAAGAGTCTGAGACAGATTAGCAATGGATTCATAGCGTCAGAAAGTACCTGTATGTCTACGATTTCCCAGACAGCATATAGGGACATCTCCCCATATATATTTATATTTTGTTCCTTCTGTCGTAATTTTTTTTCGCATAGCCCCTCCCTTTGACCGGTCGGGTGTTGACACAAAACGTGGCACGTGTATTGCAGCAAGAGCGGGGGCGCCAGCTCGCCAGCTGACATACGTCCGCAGACCTAGCCCACTCAAGGAGACACAAACACAAGCAAACAGAGACCAGAATAACAACCATCCACCATGTGGATGAAGAGGCCTGCTTGTTGGCATGCACCGACGAGCCATGGATAATAAACAATAAACCACCCGCCCTGTTGGTGGGAGATGACGCACCCTGCTATTATATATGGTTGCCATCCATGAAAAACAGAACAATTTAAAACCCAAAGCAAGCTTATTAGTGTCTCCGAAGGAAATGAAATACAATTGCAATTTTGTCGCATGTGTTGATTTTGATACCCCCACCCGTTTTTTTCGCGTTGTCAGCAGGTAGGTGCTGCTGACTGAGCAGTTGGCCGGGGCGGGACGACCTCTTCCTTGTGGCCGGCGAATTTCTCTGCTGTTGTACTGCTGTAGTAGTAATAGCGCGGTACACCTTTAATGCACCGCACCAGTCTATGCCTTCTCCATAGTTATATGGATCTGTCCACCTTTGGTCGGTGATCGTTCCACAACAATAACCACGCAGCCAGCCGTCTACATACAGTAGTATTCCACCGCAGCTACTTGTACCCGTTAGAAAAAGAAACAGCTGCAAACAGGCGACGCCGGCGATACTCACTCGATGCGTTGCTTTTGATCACATTTTTTAGCAGAAAGCAACACAGAGGTTTTTGTATGATACCCTTACGCGCTATCCACTTTCCCTCCTGGCCGTCACCGTCCTCGAAGTAGTGTTGATGAACACTGGACAAACGAAGGACCACGGAAATTTACGCGCGCTGTACACAGTAGTATCGTATCTACGGAGGTACGCCGATCATGTATCTATCTGAAGACTATACGTGACAGAGACCATCCATCATACATACATACTACGGAGACCACATGCGCGAGCTACATCATTTTCTTCATGGAGGCAACTCGCCAGATGATAATCTATCTTGGGTTTGTAGACAAGTCTCCGATGAGGGAGATGCACCGAAGAGGTGGGCATCGAACACACCAGTGTATGCTGTAGTTCTATACTGTTGTAGCTCCACATCGATGTCAGATTTGTGTCAAGCGGATTGGTATGTGTTAACCCTTACGTGACTACACCCCCGAATCGGGCATGTTAGCAGGCACGATAACTCTTATATGCGACAACTTTCGAACCGAATTGAGCTGTGGATACCTGCGTCGACGACGGCTCGACGGTACGACTAGACCGCTCGAAAAGAAACAAAGTAACGACCGGGGACAGAAACAGCACGTCCCCTATACAGAAAATTGAAAGCCTGGGAGTTGCAATGCTCCGCAGCACCCTGCATCCCGCGCTGCTGCTGTGCTGCTGTGGACCTCAGTCCAGCACGCAGAAACGCGATAATGATGCTGTTTTTCCTCCTGCTTGTTGCGATTTTTCGCACGAGCGCTATGGACGGGGTTCCTGTGTATCACGTTCGCAAGGAACAGGAGCTAGCTCCCCAGCCGGCTGCGTTGGGCCAACGGGTACAGCAGCACATCGATGGATCTGCGTCGCGCATCATTTGCAGCACATAATTGACAAGAGGTGGGAGGGTTATGGTCTTGCCCGACCGCGCTGGTGTGTATACCGTAAAGCCGGATGGCCACTGCGGGTTTAGTGCGATGTCCGCGGGTCTGCAGGTTTGCCTCGGTAGAACAAGGGCCGCCCCCACCCCAGAGAACATGAGGAGCGTGGTCGCCCGTCGAGCCACGGAACATGTTCTTGGCGCATCCGGTGTTGAGGACTTGACAGCTGTACTCTCACCAGACCAGCTTGGGCGGGCCCGGAGTGTGCGTATACCGGATGTTTTAGGAGCTGCCGTGGAAGAAATGACGGCGCCGGAGGATAAGACGGTCGGTTGGTTTCGCGAGAAAGCCCAGCTAAGTGCAACAACAAAATGGATTGACGTGACCTGGTTCTCTTTTCTGGCGTCGGAGTACGGGGTGAACATCATGTTGTGGGAGCCAAGCCCCACGTACGGCACAGTTCAGCCGTACTCAGCAGCCCTCACGGCAGGCATGTTCTTGTTCGAGAAAAAAGACAAAATGGACGAGGAGGGGGATCGCTGGGTGCATCTGCTCTATCGGAAACACGACGATCCGTGGGCAGCGCGCGAGGGTGTAGGTGAGGCAGGCCATAAACAGCACAACCACTTCGACCGTCTGCAGCTTGGACTCAACGTACATACTTCCTTCATCGATGTCGTCAGAGTTGCAAAGGAGAAAGCGCTAGGAATGGCGGCGCCGGTGCCGTCGGCGAGCGCCACGGCCGGGAAGAAAGCGCCAGGGTCCGCAAAGGTGGACGGAGAAGAGGTGGACGATCCCGAGTTCAGCATGAGACCAAGCGGCAGCAACAGCAACAAGAGCAGCAGCAGCAGCCGGCAAGCGCAGGGAAAGGCTGCAGCGGGAAAGAAAAGCAAGGCGAAGATCGGGAGTAAGGTCGGGGTGAAGCGACCAACCGAGAGGCAGCCAGGGGACAGCAAGAGGCACAAGGCGGGGGGTGCACCGGGGAAGCAGCGCAAGGCGGTTGGTGTGCCGGGGAAGCGCAAGGCGGGGGGTGCACCAGGGGAGGGGAGGGGTGCCGCAAAGAAATGCAAGAGTACGCCGACGGGTAGGAGGAAATCGGTGAAGAGCAACGGCCAAGTAGACGAAGCCAACTATGATTCCGACGGCAGCATCGGGGGGGGGGACCACGAGCGAACCCAGGGCTCCTTCGCTAGCATGTCGCAGAACGACAAGAAGGTGGTGGCCGCCATGAAGAAGATCCAGGAGCTCAAGTACAGGCGGGCGTACTTGCTGAGCAACAAGAGGAGGGCGCGGGGTCTAAAGGTGGGTTTGTGTTCGTGTAGACTTTTCTCTTGGCATTTTCCAGGCGAATAGGCGGACCTAAGAGAAGACGACGATTTATGGTGGTGCAAAAGTTGAGTCCGATAAATAGTGCGAATCAATACTGCTGTAGCAGTTTCTTACGTTTTTTTTTTCGCTTGGAATACCGAGTAGAGAGTGCCCTATCAACGCTGAACAAACGCGTGTCTAGGTAGGCACTTTGTTTCGCCTCGTGTGGTCGCTAGTCTCTACCAAAAATAATCTTAGAAGTGTTGGTAAAAAGCACCTGGTTGCTTGCATGATCATGTTGACGCCTCCGTGCCTGGCTCCTGTTGCTCAACACGGGTGTGGTTTCCAA